TAGACCTCAGTCAGGGTAGCGCTATATTTAATATTTGACAGGAATGAAAAAGAGCGCACGAAACACAACCCAGCTACAATATGCCATAATTCCAGCCAATCAGAGACCGAGGCTGCTAAATTCTGATTGGCCGCCTTGACAACCACTCACAACATTTCTTGCATTACCAGGACAGCAGAAGAGGAAAAATACAGTGCATGCATAATTATTATGCAAGTTGATATTCTGATCATATTTTTTTCCAAGCACATTTTACCAATTCCAAACATCATCAATCTTAATACCTACTATTAATTTTGTATTTAATCACATAATCTATTATGCGAGCTGTTGTCATTTAGAGAGCACTGAGGGCGGGTATCAGGTGAGCAATCTAGTAAAACGTTGCACGCAACGTCTGCACACATCCAAAAACTTATTTTAAATGCAAAATTGATTTTCGTGTGCTCAAAATACTTTCTTCTTTGCGAGACAAACATTTTCTCCACAAAACTCAGTTCGCGCGCGTACAAAACGCACTTTTGCGCACTCAAAATATGATCTTTCGCGCGCATAATTGTGGCAGAGATGTAATCCCATACTCCCATCGAACGCAGAGGAGCCAATGGCAGTCGAGTATCAGCTGCACGGGGAGCGGAGCTCGGACATCTTGGAGAAACATTGGAAGATCCAAAACTCGCATCGGTTTGATGGTGTTTATGCTACAAAAATGGAAAAACAGTGTGCCTGGGGTACTTGTAACACTGATTCCAGGTATCTTGAGAGGATGGGCAATGGAATTTCTTTTATTCCATTTCCTGAAACCGAATAAAACAGAGCAAAATGTCCGTAAGCATTCAACTCTAATCCCAATGAAGACGAAAACGTTAATTTTCTGGTTGTCATACTCTCATTAAGTTACAATTTTCATCTGCTCAAGCAGAACATTAATATCATCTTTTGCTTCAGCAAGGTATCTCTGGCTAAAACTAACTAATGTTGAAGTTAGTGAGTCAATGCTAACGTACAAACCTAAATAGACTGTTCTCACGTCATGATGTTTTATTAACAAAGTTCGGGAGGAGCATGTTCAGATAATTAACCTAATTAACATGAGAGGAGCACAATCAGTAATCAACCCAATCAACAAGATAAGAGGTGTGTATATATACACAGCAGACTTACCTCTGTTCCATAATAGGGGCACTTTAAAATCTTTTATATATCCCTCCATGGCATATCCCACTTGAATGGTGGTCCTTCTGTGTCCAAAATTGTTCAAGAACATCGTCAGCTGTCATTGTAAAACAGTGAGCAGCTCAGTTTGTTTTTCCGAGGGAGCAACAGTAACTAAGGGGGGCGGGGCTTACCGATAGGTCAATTGGGCTACTTTAACACTGTTGCCGCGGTTTGTTTTTCATGTCCGCAGGTTGAAGCGACCCCAATAACGTGATATTTAGCCCCTGAAATGCGAATTCTACTGGGGAATCCCACCAAAAAACGTGTATTTTACCCCCCGGAATGCAATTTTTAATGGGGGACCCCCTTGAAAGCGATTGGCTAGTTTTGAGTAGCAATTGGGCGGGTAACCCTGATTCTACTGTAATTTAACAACATGCTGAAAACTTTCAATAGACAAAAACACCATAAAACAGTTTTGGACATTGTGAGTTGAGAGTTACTTGGTCTAGGTTATACAGTAGTACCATTGTGCGCACTGTATCAACATCTCGTTTTCATTCACGTAAAAATATGGCGTCCTCTCTAAAAGTTGTGGCCATATTAGCGAAATTTCTTGGGCAAAAGGGTCCGCCGTCTACTGTAAATAGTGTGGCGATGTGTGAAGCACAACTTACACAGAAATCATTTTTGAACCAAGCAGTTTTCTGTTGGTGAATCCGTGTGCTCAACTAAACCCAATGCGATATCTCCATGAGGAAACTCCAGACTGGATATAGCCCGTGAAAGTTCGCCGAACAATGGTAAATGTTTGCATTTGTGCAGCAACAGAACATAAAAATTAAGCTAAAAAGTCATAATTACTGGGATAGTACACCAAATATTGCAGGAGGCCACCTTGAACTATAAATGAATCCAAGAAGAATATTGTTGGGCGTGTAATTGAATTTAGGAATTTTCCAATTTGAAAATAGAATTAATTATTCGCATGCACGTTGTTTATTCTGTTGTTTATTTGCGTGTTGTTCCTCATTGCACATTTTTTTTGCTATTCATAAAAGATCATATCAAAAGGTTTACGAATAGTAGAAACATTAACTAGCATTACTAGCCACGTTTTCCATTGCCTGAGAACAACTTTTGTTAACTTGATAGTTAATATCTAATATTTGAAGGATCAGTTACTTTTATACACACATATATATATATATATATATATATATATATATATATAAAGAGA